GTCCTATAATTCTTGTAATTTCAAAAACGGAACTTTACGTTCGGAGAAATTTAAACTCAGTTTCGTAACTTTTTTTTTAGGGGTATACTAGGGAGGTTATCTATTTGGTTTTGGTGGAACTTAATTCTATTCCAGCATGTTTTTTATTTAATAACAATAATGAACTTCGATATCAGCCATATTTCCTTAGTCCTGGTAGAGGTGGATCCGTGAATATCCACGGATAAAAATGAATATTCAGTTAAGAGCAAATATTTGGCTACATAAAATTTACGAATAGTCAAGGATTTTATTAGTTACACAAAATTTGTGAATAGTCATGAATATTCGATAAATATTTGCTTAAATATAACCAGAACATTACTAAATTTGCATAATATTCTATCCAATGCTATCCACGGATAACCATATTATTCATTTAATATTATTCGCGAATGACTAAAACTCGGGAATATTCAGTGAATAGTCACAACGGATATTCAAAAATTTCAGCTCTAATTCCTGGTTTTGCACAACTGCGTTGTGCAGTTACTTATCATGATAAAAAAATTGCAATATTTAAATTATATAGGACTAAGTATGCGCTGGATTTTATTGAATAATCGGTCACACATCATACACCCTAATAGCGCTACAATATATACTAAATGCAATGCTCCAACATCTTTCGTTTCTCGTTTCGCATGACAATGTACGCAGCTATCTTATTTACCATGAAAGCTTGTTCATTAAAGATCCAGTAATTTGAATATAAATGCATAAAATGATTATGCGAAATTATATGGATTACTATTACCACATTCATCGCTAACCCATTTAAGCAACTCAAGCTTTGAGAAAAACAAAATAAGGTTACACGGTACTATTTTCTATAAACTCTGTGGTTTATTACTAGCGTTAAATAAAAATGCAATGCGAATTAATAAGATTTCTGTTAACAGCAATTAATGTCAAAAAATAATAAACGTTTTCCAATAAAGAAAATAACTGCTAGCCAGAATCCTGATGATTTAAACCCGGTTGTGTCACCAGTAATGTTACCAAGAATATAATGTGTTCCTATCAGATGAGCTGTTGCAATTAAGTAAATCAATATAGATACGCTAACCTCGTTCTTTATATTTGGTACAAATATTATAAAACCGAATACCGCAAATAAAAAAAATATAAAATGATTAACCGCATATTGCGTATGTTCTAGTCTAATAATTAATGCAGTCATACCGACCCAACCAGCAAGACCTAACAAAATTGCAAAAATAAGACCAACAATCCCGTAAAATATGTCACGATCATGATCGCCATTTTCCGAAGACGCCGCCCCATCATTTAACATTTTTGATGCCCACGGAGAGAGTTGTCCAATAGCTAAGACTATTAATATCCATTCCTCACGACAAAGAATACAAGT